TTCCTGCTGTGTCTTCAGTGTCTGAAACAGCACCTGGCACATTATAAGTGTTCTGTAAATACTCTGTTGAATGTTGGAATGATCAGATAACTCAAATCTAACATATTTGACTATGAATCTTAGCTTCTCCGTCATCAAGGCTTTCAGCCTCTTCTCCCCAACCTAGAAGAGAAGAGAGAATCTTGCGATTTGCAATGACTGCATCCCTTCCTACAGGTGAAGGTGCTAAAGGAGAAGATAGAAGCTGAAAAGGGTCGTGATGCCTTTCCTGTGGCTGGACAGAAACTCATCTATGCTGGCAAGATCCTGAGTGATGATGTCCCCATCAGGGACTATCGCATAGATGAGAAAAACTTTGTAGTTGTCATGGTGACCAAGGTAGGTGAAATATGCTGGTTGTGAGGATTACATGGATTAGCTGGGGAGCTGGCTAGAGCCTGTGTGCCCATGAGAGATTAGCTGTGAATAGGGTGGGGCCTGGATGTGACTGGATGTTGAGGCTTGATAGGGATACTGATGCCTGCTCCCTTTTTCTGGGTATGACAGGCCAAAAACAGCTCAGGCACCTCAGTACCCCCAGAGGCCTCATCCACTGCTGCCCCTGAGTCCTCCACATCCTTCCCGCTGGCCCCCGCCTCAGGCATGTCCCATACCCCACCTACCATCAGAGAAGACAGGAGTCCATCGGAGGAATCAGTCCCCACGGCATCCCCGGAGTCTGTGTCAGGGTAAGGCAGGGAGCAGCAGTCCCAACTTGGGCCCTGTCCTCCCAGCACATTCCATTGCCCACATATTGTGGTCTTACGCACACAGGGGGAGGGCAGGCCTCCAGAAGCCGGTCCGATTTCTCTCTCTTGAATTTGCAGCTCTGTTCCTTCTTCAGGTAGCAGCGGGAGAGAGGAAGATGCAGCCTCCACGCTAGGTGGGTGGGCAGTCCCTGGGGCAGAAGTGACTGGGTGTTCCAGCCATCAGTTGGGTCTTGTGTGGGTTTGGGAGGGTCTGGGAGCTCTCCTTCCCTTTCCCTGGTGACCCAGACCTCACTGCTCCCTCCACAGTGACTGGCTCTGAATATGAGACGATGCTGACGGAGATCATGTCCATGGGCTATGAGCGGGAACGGGTCGTGGCCGCCCTGAGAGCCAGCTACAACAACCCCCACCGAGCCGTGGAGTATCTACTCACGGTGAGGTGGGGGTACAGCCTCCTGGGGAGGCTTCTACGGAGTACATGGGCTTCAGTGCCCTGATGGGTGGTCAGGGAGGCAAAACCTGCCCCCAAAAGCCTTTGGGTTGTGGTACCAGCCAGGAAAGGCTTTCTACAAAAGGCTGGACATGAGTGGATGGGTGGGCCTCACCTATCTCCTGCCAGGGCAGAGCGTGCAGGAGGGAGGCAGCGGGTGTTTTGTGCTTTAGAACTAAATAGGACCCCTGACAGGGAATTCCTGGGAGTCCCGAGCCAGAACATGGTTCTGTCCAGGAGAGCCAAGTGTCTGAGCAGACGTCCACAGAACCAGGTGAGTGAATTGGGAGGTGTGCATGTGGGGTGTCTGCTGTCAAGGCATCAGACTTCTCCCTCCCCAACCCTCATGCTTCTGGGAGCCCAGCCTGGGGTCTGACTACATGCCTCTTTCCTGCCAGCGGGAGAGAACCCCCTGGAGTTCCTGCGGGACCAGCCCCAGTTCCAGAATATGCGGCAGGTGATTCAGCAGAACCCGGCGCTGCTGCCTGCCCTGCTTCAGCAGCTGGGCCAGGAAAACCCACAGCTTCTGCAGGTGCGGCCCTGGGGGCTCAGAGGGAGCCAGTGTGGCCAACACCTCCCCTCCCTGTGGGAACCAAAGCCCGAAAGAACGAGCCTGGTCCAGTACCTATGTAGGCATTCCTCTATACTTGGAAAATTGGACTAACAGTGGTCCCTTGGTGCTCCCTTTGACTTAATGTTTTATATAATCGTCCCAATCACCATGTGAGGGTCTGGGTACTGTCATCATTGCCCTCATGGAAGAAGACCCCAGAGGCTTGGAGCAGCGGGCAGCTGGTGGAGTGTCTGCCTCCAGCTTCTGCTCCTGTGCTCTGTCTTCTGGGTCTTGTGACTCTGACTGTGTCTCAGCTGCACATACAGCTGGTGCTTCATACATGTCATGTCAGTAGGGTTTCATTGTAGCACCCAGGACCACTGTGCCCTAGTTTGCTCTGGGTCCTCCATGAATGCCTGCCTCTCGCAGTTCAGGACCAGTCTGCTGCTTCTCCCCCCACTTCTGTCTTATGCTGGCTCCTCCAGCTGTTGGAGAGCCCAGGCTGCACATCTGTTCTTTATCTGCACTCAGTCTTCCCTATGCATCCTCCTGGGGCCTTCGGTCTGTGGTGACCCCCAAATCTGTGTAACCAGGCCAGACCTCTGGATGCCACGCTTTTCCATGGCTGACGTAATGCCTCCATGAAAGTGCTCTCCAGATGTCTTAAGTTTTCAGAACAGACCCTCTTCCCATCCCTTTCTGTCCCCACACGGACCAGCCTGGGAGCCTTCTGCGGTCGTCTATCACCTGGCATGTCTGCTCTACTTCTGGAACATCTCAGTCAGTCCAGCCTTGCACTCTAGTTCGGTGGCTGATATTTCACCTCCCGCCTGGTTGCCTGGTGGCCAGGCCGGTTTCTGCACAGCCCCTACAGTCCATTCTCCATTAGGAGCCAGAGTCTTGAAAAAGCACTTGCTCCATTCAAATGAAAATTGTCAGACGTACATAAAAGTTGACAGTTTTATCAGAACCCCTAGATAGGCAATATCCAGATGTATTTATGTTTTTAAAAGGTACACAGATTTACCCATCACCACTGTTGTATCCCATTACACTACAAGGCCGTAGAAGAAAGCAGGTCTGGTCCCTGCTTTCCTCTCTGATCTCATTTTCTGTTCTTCCCTCTCCTCTTTCTTGTTTACTTGGTTTAGCCAAATGGATCTTGTTTCTGGGACTTGTCAAATGCATCCCCCCTCTTTGGCCTTTTTTTTTTTTTTAATATATTTTATTGATTTTTCACAGAGAGGAAGGGAGAGGGATAGAGAGTTAGAAACATCGATGAGAGAGAAACATCGATCAGCTGCCTCCTGCATACCTTTTACTGGGGATGTGCCCAAGACCAAGATACATGCCCTTAGCCGGAATCGAACCTGGGACCTTTCAGTCCGCAGGCCGACGCTCTATCCACTGAGCCAAATCGGTTAGGGCTCACCCTTTGGCTTTTTCACTTGGAACATGTTCTACCTGGGGGAAACTTCCTTCTCTCCTGGCCTAAAATGTCTTTCCTAGCCCAGTGTCTGCCCTACTGTATGCCAGGCCCAATATTTACGTTGTAAATAATTATCCATTTATTTGCTTGTTTATGGCCTATCTCACCACCCTGGAACATCAGCTCCACCAGGGCAGGGTCTGTTCACCACTGTTGCTATTTGGCTAGAATAGGGACCGTCAACATACTTTACTAAGTGAATGAAAAACAAGGGCTATAAGACACTTGGGGAGGTGGGCCAAAGGCCTTGGGTCGTCATCCCCTGCCCTCTGTCACTCACAGCAAATCAGCCGGCACCAGGAGCAGTTCATCCAGATGCTGAACGAGCCCCCTGGGGAGCTGGCGGACATCTCTGACATTGAGGGTGAGGTGGGTGCCATAGGCGAGGAGGCCCCACAGATGAACTACATCCAGGTGACGCCACAGGAGAAGGAAGCTATAGAGAGGGTAAGAGGCCTGGCCGAGGGGTAACCCTGCTGGTGGGCAGGTCACCCCACCCCCTGCTCATACCTGCCCATCTTCCCACAGTTGAAGGCCTTGGGCTTCCCAGAGAGCCTGGTGATCCAGGCCTACTTCGCCTGTGAAAAAAACGAGAACTTGGCTGCCAACTTCCTCCTGAGTCAGAACTTTGATGATGAGTGATGCCAGGAAGCCAGGCTGCCTACTGCCCCACCCTACCCCCAAATCTACAAAAGTTTTATAAAAGAAAAAAATATATATATATTCATGTTTATTTAAGAAGTGGAAAAAAGTAAAAAATCTTAAAAAAACAACAACCCAACTTCCCAGCCTCCTGAAGTGGCTCCTATTCCCATCTTTGCCTGAGATGACCTGGGCTAGACAGCTGTCCCCCCATCCCCTGCCTTAGCTCAGCCTGCTCCTGCTCCAAGGAGCTGGCAGGACTGGAAGTGACAGATGGGCCCCTCTTGGCCTCTGTCCCAGCTCCCTGCAGCCAGATGGAGAAGCGGCTGCTTGCTTCCCCATCCCCCGAAGAGCCCTTAAGACCCCCTTACCCTGGAAGGGAAAGGGGAAGCTGGAGCCCCAAACTTTGATCCTCTGTTGGAATGGCCCAAATCTTCCCATCTGGGGTGAGCACATTCTGGCCTTGGCCTCCAGCCTGCATCACTTCAATGGGAGGAAGCGGCCAGGCTTCTGTCTGGGGAAGGGGTAATGTCAGAGCCGCTCTGGAGGTCAAGGCCACCCCAGAACAGAACCCTGTCTCTGATAAAGGTTTTGAAGTGAATAAAGTTTTAAAAGCCCATCTGTGGTCTGTACCTGCTGGGGCTTTCCGCTCCAGCTTGTCTGGCTCTGGGGGTTAGTTGGGCACAGGAAATGTGGGAATGCCAAGAAGGGACAGAGAGGCCTGTCAGCCTGTGCAGATTGGGGCTCCCAGTGTATTCTTCCTCAGAAGCTGTCTCATTCCCTGCAGTGGGCCCGTCACATCTTGGTCTTGAAAGGGCTTGTTTCTTCCTACCCCTACCCCCCATCATCACCAGTCTGTTTTGGCTAAATTTCCCCCCTGGTAATTACTGGAGATTAATGTTGGTAAACAGTAGCCTTCTCCTCTGCCATCTGCTCCTACATTATTTCCTCATTGCATCCCCTGTTCTCTCCTCCTGAAACATGGTCTAGAGTCCCCCAGTGAGCAGCGCCAAGGAAGGATGGGGATTCCCCGGCCTCAGATATTGGGGAGGGGTACACTGAGAGAGGACACAGCTCTCCAAGAGTGAGGCTGTTGGGCAGCAGGTTTTATTGAGAAAGAAAAGCTCAGGAGCTGGGTGCCATGGAGTCTGCTGGGTCCTGGTCTGCAGTGGCGGCCATTGCAGCAGTTCTTGCCTCCTTCTTCTGTCTTTGTTTTTCCTCCTTGAGGCGCTTGCGCTGCTGCTTCTCCAGGTCCTGCAGCAGCTCCTGGAAACGGGTACTCCTTGGGTCCACGTGGTAGCCCAGGCGCTCCTGGGCTTCGGCCTGCAGCCTGGCTCGCCGCTCCTTGTCTGCCTTCTCCTTCTCCCTGCGCTCCCGCTGCTGCCGCCGCCAGTTCTCAATCATCTGTGGCATCTTGGCCATGCTCTCTGCAATGAGCTGCTCCCTGTAGGGGAAGGAGGGTGAGAGGTGAGGAAAGTGACATCCAACCAGAGCAGCACACATCTACTCACATCCCACCCTCAAGTCTGCCCACATGTTGCTTCTCAACTCCTCCATGGGGATGAAAAACTGGGATGATTTATCTTGACCATTATCTAGTGAACAGGCAGTAGAGATTAACTAATATATGTATGACCTAGATATAGAGCATGAGAGGGCCAAGCCCCAATAACCCCCAGGAGCAGGCCCCAAGTTAACATTTCACGAGCTGTCTAGTGAGCCCTCTGTTTCACACACCATGCCGGGCCATTCCCAGGGACATCACTGACCACCTACTGTAAGCCAGGCCCAGTTCTAGGCAAAGCATAAAGACAAGAAATGGACTGGATCTTTCCATCCAATCCTGAGTTTGTAAGTGCCAGTTATAGCCCCATTTTAAGGATTAGAAATGTGAGGCAGGAAGAACTAAAGCCTCAAGACGGTTATCTAGCTGGGGTGGGGCAGAGATAGCTATGAGAGAGGTTCCCATCCCATCTCCATTGTTAACTGCCTGGGTGACTGGACTGGTGACTCCACCTCCCAGGCCTCACTTTCCTCATTTCTAATGAGGGTGGTCCCCCTTCCTCTTAGAGCTGTTGTGCAAATAAGAACATTAAACACTGAGGACACAAATGGCCTGCTCCCCCACCTTGCCTGCTTTGGCTGGCTCCTCACTCTAGGAAGTGGCACAACCCTGATGCCCTTGGTCTTGCCTCCATACTTTGGTTAAGTCTAATCCTTTAGACCTGCTTACGAGTCCGACCTCTGCTCTTGATTCCAGACCTCATCACTTTCCAATGAGGGCCTGGCTGTTCCCGAAAGCACCTTCCTACCTCAGGGCCTTGGCTGTTCCCTCCACCCAGAACATTTCCTTCTGCGGTCATTCAGGTCTCTGCTTAAACCTCAGGTGTGAGTCCCAAACCAAAGCCGCCCTCCGAGTGCACTCTTCACCAAATTTTATCTTCCCAATGGCTCTGTTGCCATCTGAAATGTTTTGTTCCCTGCTGTGTCCCCCGCACCTGGGACAGGCCTTGCACACAGTAGGCGCTTGAACAGTTACTCAGAAGTCTGCTTTGCAGCACGTAAATCTACAGCAACACAAACCCCACGATAACCGCCTGTTGGGGTACAATTCACGCATTGGGCCGCGAAGGGCGCGACCGTAGCCCCGACCGCACGCACGCACCTGGCCTTACGCTTCTGCTCCTCGGCCAGCTGCTGCACCCGCAATGACTCCTGCATGGCCGCCAGGCTCGGGTGCCACTCGCTCTCCTCAGCCTCTAGCTCGCGCAGCTGCTGCTGCCACG